CCCTCCCACAATGGCCAGAGGGGATGGCCGATACTTCAGGTGGGGAATTGATATGCTAATAGCACCCCTGTCCCTTGGAAGAGACATGCTCTGGTGAGTTCAAGACATGGTGGGAAATTCTCTTTTACTCAGGGACCCAGAATACCCTAACTGCCTACTACCCACTCTAACTCCTCTCTCACATTCTTTGCCCCAGTGAGTGCCCCATTTACATTTTGGGCATTTTCCAGGTGCTTTCTTTTGTTTATTGCAGTTCCTTTGGGTATTCCTGCATCTGAAACATTTTAAAGTTTTTTCTGGAGTATGGCTGAACCCTGCAAAGTTTAGGCAAGCATTTGAGCCCTTGTTGTTTCTGAATCAATGTCTCTACAGATCTTAATATATTTCATTACATCTCCTGTTTCTTTTACTGGTAAAATTAGCTTGACAACATTCCTCATTGTCATTTCCAAAAGCTAAAGCCTTTCATATTTAATTGTGTACAGCCGCTCCTTAAACTGTTTGATCTAAGACATTTTCAAGCCGTACAATAAACTCCACATAAGGTTCATTAGACTTTTGTAACATTCTATTCCAAGACCATCATGATCTCCCTTAGGTATGATTTTATCCTATGCTTAAGGCTATTTTGCTCAATTGCGCACAAACTTGAGTAGGATTATAAACTTTCTGCAAAGACAGATCAAAAATGCCCATTCCAGACAGCATCGGGTAAGTGATCTCTCTAATTTGTGCATCCTGTTAACATTTTCCATGACCTGTGAGGCAAACATATCATTAAACCACATGTTCCACTATAAATATTCCCCAGGAGGCAATAAGGATCTACAAAGAATTTCCCATCTTCTGGTACCAGGGTGCCATAGTGATTGGTGAATCCATCAACAATCTCCTTAATATATGGAGACTGAGTCCCATATGATGTCACTGCCTTTTTCATTTTGGAATTATGATCAATATCTCTACTTTCCCATTGAGGTGCCACGGATGAACTGCCACCCTGAGGGGACTGTCTAATAAGTGGAAAACTGAAAACATCCCTGTCATTATCCGAATCATGATCGCACATCAAACAGACTCAAACCGCAGCGAGAGCTGGAACAGCGTGGCAACCACATGTGAGCTGCTTTTGCTTTCAGTTTTTCTATTTCACCAGTCAAATGTAATTTTTGCTCCATATGTGGGTACTTCCTCTGTGTTTTATATTTTGGGGAGTTCATGAGTCTGACTCCGGGGATCTGAAAGATTTCTGCAATGGTGTCACTGGATCCAAATTAGAAGACGTTGGAACAGGTATGACAGGTTCCGGATCTGACAAAACCTGTTTCCTTTTCACAATCACCTACACCCGGACCTCCTCAGCTAAATCATACTCATGAGTAGACTCCTCAGCTTCCTCTCTCATTTTATATGGAGACAACACCAGCACATCGTCCTGATCCATACTGACAGCCACTCTGATCCAACACAAACAGTCCAAAATCTACAGGCACCTTCTTTCCCTGTCTCAACGGCTTTTCCACATTCCGCTTAACTCTGAACCAAGTTTCGAAGTCCAAAGAGCCCTCCTCCAGGAACTAAGGATTAAACTCAACAACAACATTAAGACAACAATCTATCCAAGCTTGGATGACTCACACCCCATGTTGCTTAAGAACATGGTGTATGAAAATCGCAAATGGAGTGGACTGAGTTTGTCCCGTTACCTTGTAATAACTTACGTCAATATGTCTTTCTGCTTACCCATGGCCTCCAGTGGGCTTCTATTCAGTTCCTTATCAAGGCTCCACTTGTGAATGATCCCTCTGAGGGAATCAGGACCTGAGGTATGGCTACCAGATGGACAAAGATCAGTATGTAACAGATGCAAGTCCAATGATGTAATGCACACTTTATTGAACTCAACAGGGTATTTATATGCTAGGCAGGTTACCTAGGAAACCACAGAAAGCCCCTCTAAAGGTAGCAAACAAGGAAATGAAGTTACAAGCAGTGTGAAGGGAAAGAAATAAACATGTTTTTCAGGAACGGATTCTAGCAATCAGACCAATTAACTGAGGAAGGGGACATGATAGGCTACAGGCAACTAATGAGAAAGGAGGCATAGGGAAGCGCTGCTTATTCCCAGCCATGCTTGGCCAGTGAGGCAGCCACAGTCCCACACAGGAAGTCTGCTTCCTGATAGTACTCTCAGTAAGTTGAGAGTGTATGAGCTTTTAGGTCCTAGGGCATCTGATGGAATGCTTCAGAGATGCACTTCTACACTACAGCCAACTCTTAGGTTGACAAATTTAACATTATGATTTTTTAATATATGCTTTTCACTTTTAAAAATCATTATTTTAACTGATATTTTAGGGAAAATATTTGTTTAGAGCATACAATATGACAATTGATGTTGGGTTACAAAATATTAACTACAACATATAGGCTTGGTGTAAAACTAACCATCATATTCAACATGTAAAAATTAGAGACATCAGTCTCCCAGGAGTAGAAGCAACAATCAAATCTCAAGATGCCTTTTCCATTTCTACATTAATTTTGTGTTCAGAATTAACTAGGACTGTTAGGAGAAACACATGATAATTATCCTTGGGGAACTGGCTTGTCTCACTAAACAAAACATTTTAAAGTGAGGAACTAAATGGCAGCTATTTGCAATGCTGCAGAGCAGGAGAAAGACAGAGAGGATTCACCTGATCCATCATGGTCTCTTGGGAAACACCTGCAAGAAAACGGCTGCGTGTCATGGCCAGAGTCCCTCAGGGCCAGCAGGTGCTTAGAGGTCAGGAAGCTACCTAATGAGCAGGTGCCTGGAGCTGTAAGTAGCTCCTTTGCTGTGGTCCCTCAGACTAAAAGCAGCCTGTTTTCTGCATTTGAGATCCTGAGTCTTGCTCTGGGACCAGAACTTCCCTCCTTCCCTCTGCTGTGCCTGGGACAGAGCTGCAGTGTGCAGCATCCACCATCCAGGGAGAAATTCGGGCATCCCTATATTCACCTTCTTCCCACAGAGCCCAAGCAGGTGAGCCTGGCAGAAACTGCAGAAGGGTCCCAGCCTGTAAACACAGATAGCTTTCCCTGGGAATAACCTCAAACTGATCTAACCTAGCTAACACCTGGGCTAGGTCTGTGGCGGTGACTGCTATACTGAACTATTGAATGCATTTGTCAGTGATTATCAAAGGGGAGGAAAATGTTGGATCTCCTAGAGCAGCAAACATTGCTAATGAAGAAATGAGGGCAATAAAAGATCAATTCTAATAGGCAATGAGATGCATAAATTGCCTAGAGTACATATAACCACTCAAAACCAATTAGACAAGAGATAATGCCCACTCCTGTCCCTGGAACCACCTCTGCAGACCGCGTCACCACGGTGCCCATTCAGGAAGAGAAGAGTTGATGTAACCGATGTCCCCATATTAATAGGAAAAAACAAGTTGAGGCAAAATGTCTGCCTGTAAATCCTGATAGCAGCAGGTGCTGGAACACACAGGTCTCAGAGTCTTCTCTCACTGTACTCTCACATGACCCAATGTTAACTTAGTAATAACTTAAGAACAGCTCTCTCAAAGACACCTGCTTGACAATTATTGCATCATCTGTGAGTTGGATACACTCTAGGGTTTCTAGCCCTCACATTTTCTTCTGCGATTTCACATTTTCCTGGTATGGTGTCAGGTGAGACACTTTTATATTTTCCCTTTATTGTCTTCTTACCTACAAGACTGGACATTGTTGACAGCTTTTTTCTGCCATGGTGTCCTTTGATGTATATTTGTATTGTTCTTAAGTGAAGAAAAAGTGTATTTAAAAGGGAAGTTTGTCATGTTCCAAAAATGTCTGATGCAAAAAATATTGTATTCCACGTTTAGGAAATATCGAAATATGAATTTCTATTTCTCCAAATGTATGGACAAACATTAGTGTACCGTTTGGTGGCATTTTCCAAGACATTTCGATGGACCCTCTTAGTGAAATGTAAGAGAACTTGGGAAAGCAGGCATTTCTCTGTTGTGAAAATCATTAAGTTACCCTAGGCTCCACCTGCGCTGTTACTAAATGTACAAACATTTCATTCTATAAATTGAGTCTTTTTTAAAAAAAGATGTATTTATTTTTATTGGAAAGGCAGATATACAGAGAGAAGAAGAGACAGAGAGGAAGATCATCCATCTGATGGTACACTACACAAGTGAGCACAACGGCCCCGCTGCGCCCATCCAAAGCCAGGAGCCAGGCGCTCTTATAGGTTTCACACGTGGTTGCAGGCTCCCAAAGCTTTGGGCCATCCTCAACTGCTTTTCCAAGCCACAAGCAGGGAGCTGGATGGGAAGTGGGGACAACGGGATAAGAACCGGCCACCATATGGGATCCCAGTCACGTGCAAGAAGAGGAATTTAATCACTACACTTCCGTACCAGGCCCATATACATTGAGTCTTAATAGTTCAGTTTCATATCTATATTTCCAACCTGCTCAAGTTGAGTTGTTCTTATCATTTGACATATCTTGTGATTCCTCATTGGTCTACGTAAGTGAATCGCTTATTCAAAGTCATACCACTTCTAACTTCAGTTACACCATTTGAGTGAGGATCACTTTAACAAGCAGAATTAAATCCCATTATTTCTTGTGGTATGTGGAACCACACATTATACACTGCTTTTTCACCTGCGTTCATGTTCATGCATTTAACCGGAAAATCAATGGTGAGTTTTTAACCACTGATGAACAGAAATACCTAATGTTGTCAAAGATCATCTCATTAATTGTGAGAGCATTGATGCTTTAGGGAAGATGGAGGCTTGCAAAGAATGCTTGGTCAGGGTTTCCACTAGGAAGGACCATATCAGAACTGACATATCTTGAAATGTGGGAACTCAATGCTGAATGGGAAAACATACATTTGGAATATCTGCTCTGTTGGTTACATCTTATTTTGTACGCATATGATTCAGGTTCAGCTACTATTTCCTGTTAGTAACCTGCAACATATGAAACTGGATAACCAAACTCAGCTTTCAGAATTTCTTCTCCTGGGATTTTCAGATGACCCAGCACTGCAGCCTTTTCTCTTTGGGTTGTTCCTCTCCATGTACCTGATCACTGAATGTGGGAACCTGCTCATCATCATGGCCATCCTCTCAGACCCCCAACTCCACACTCCCATGTACTTATTCCTTGCCAACCTGTCCTTCTCTGACATCTGCTTCACTTCCACCACCATCCCCAAGATGCTGGTGAACATCCACACGCAGAGCAGAGCCATCAGCTATGAAGGCTGCATCACACAGATGTTCTGCTTCATAATGTTTGCAACGTTAGATGACTTTCTCCTGACCGTGATGGCCTATGACCGGTTTGTGGCCATCTGTCACCCCCTACACTACACAGTCATCATGAACTCCCATTTCTGTGTGCAGCTTATTCTGTTGTGCTGGGTCATTGGTGTCCTGAATGGCCTTATGCTGAGCTTACTGGTGCTGAGGCTGAGCTTCTGTACACACCTGGAAATCCCTCATTTTTTCTGTGAGATAAATGAGGTGGTCCACAGAGCCTGTTCTGACACCTTTCTCAATGACCTCATGGTCTATATTGCAACTGTGCTGCTGTTGGTTGTTCCTGTGTCTGGGATCCTGTACTCCTACTCCAAGATCGCCTCCTCCATCCGTGCCATCTCATCAAAACAGGGCAAGTATAAAGCCTTTTCCACCTGTGCCTCTCATCTCTTGACCCTCTCTCTATTTTATGGCACAAGCATAGGTGTGTACCTCAGTTCCAGTGCAGCCCCAAGTTCAGCCTCAACTGCAGCAGCCTCGGTGATGTACACTGTGGTCACCCCCATGCTGAATCCCTTCATCTATAGTCTCAGGAACACAGACATGAAGAGGGCTTTGAAAAGATTGCTGTTCCATAAATGATAATCGAACCCATGGTGTTGGAGCAGAACAGCGTCAGTGACTTCATGTCTCAAATCTCAGGCTCAGACCGTGTGATGAGTTTACGAAAAGAGGAAACAGAGCTTGCTTATTTTATCACTGTCTTGATTTTATTTTTATAATAATTAATTCCTCTGGGTATCCTGCAAATGGCTGAACCATTGCATTGCACTATATGTTATCTGTGGACACTCACAATTTCTTCCTGAGAATTGCTTTTCTCTGACATTTGCTATGCACCTTGTTCACGAAATACAAGACTCAAATATTTCATTGAAAAATGGAAGTTGGGGAGGGGAATTCTATGTGCTGAAAACTTTTAATTCCATGTGTATCTTTACAGTGTATAGAGTGCTTTGTATATTCCATGCCTATCATTTTTCTGTATTCTCTTTAACTACCACATGAATGTGTCTTTATAAGATTAAGCCTATTTTAGTATGTATAATATTCCCCAGTTACACCAAATGTATTGCCAGAAAGATACGATTTTGTTTTTTTAATCGTGGTTGGTATTTCATTTTATATGAGCAATAGAAGCCTGTTGATGGAATGTAAATTAGCATAACAATTGCATAACAATTGCATGCTCCCTCTGAATTGCCTGAAGCTAAGTGTGCACTTTTCTCATGATACAATTTTGTCTCAAATAACATCATATGACACTATCCGATGTTCTCCATCTTAACTTGCTAATTTACCTTTCAGACAACATACATTTAAGAAACAGTAGAGTAAAAGTTTTGGATATTCTATTCCAGCCACATCAATGAGACACATATTTTATTCTTTTCTTATATGTTAGAGCTAATACGGATTACACACCAAAAAACACAGTGTGTAGGAATGAAACTGGTGACTACTCCACTGCACATGCTTGCAGGCACAGGAGCCAGAGCTGGGGGCCAGTCCTGTGGTGGTCATTGGAGGGTCGCTCTGACAGCTCCGCCTGTAATATGTGAGGATTGAGCATTTGTTGTGCAGGGCTGGGCTGAGCCACAGCACCCATTGCTTTGCTGAAGATAGAGGGAAAAATAAATTGATCTACTACCCCAGGGCAACTTGAGAGCAAACTATTTTGCAAAAGGAAATTCAGAGGTGGACTATGACAGTCAATCGAGCTCAGAAAGATTTCCTCATCCTCGGAGCGGTAATGCAGGCAACATCTCAGAAGTACCAAAAACACATGAACAGAACCCTCAGAAAATACTCCATAATGGGGACCCTGGGATGACATTGGATGGCAGTTGCCCATCCCCCGGGTTTATGTGGCAGTTGGGAGTCTGGGTGTGGTTTCTCCTCTTGTATCCCCTCTCCTTCTAAGGGGAGAAGAAGAAAATGTGCAAACAAAGGTTTCACCCACTACCCTCTGCTCCTTGACCCTTCCCAACCTGATCGTCTATGTAAACATTATCACTAATAAAATTTAAAAACAATGAGACTGTCATCTTGTGATTTGATTATTGTATTAACCCTTACCTATACTCCTATAAGCAATAGTCTTTCTGCTTTTTACTTGTCGTTAAGAATATGCTTATATAGTTGAGATTACATTACTGTAAAAATTTCAAGAAAAAATGAGGAAAGGGGAGATTGAGGCAGGAATGTATGACAGATATCTTAGATTTTTATTTATGAAATGCGTGAAACCTATTCTGTTTATAGCCTTAATGTTGTAAATAATTTATTTTCTTTTACATGATGTTAACACTGTTGATCAGAGTTGGGTAAGACAAGGGTTAGGGGAAAGTGTGTGTGATCTTTAGTTTCAAATTTTCTATTTCTCCCTTCTGTTCTGGGGGAGGGGTGCTGGGGAATAAGAAGAGAAGACATACCTAGACCTGGAGCACAACTGCCTAGGCTGTCTTGTACCTAGGTAACTATTACAGTGCCAGGAGAAAAGTAGCTAGTAGCTGGTGGGCATTCTGGGTATGGTTATGCCAAATCTGTGTTAACTATATCACTATGCCAGCAGAGGTGCTTATTCTTTTATCTTTCTTCCTTCTTTTTTTAAGTGATAAGTGGAGAAAGTGGGGAACTTCAGGCTGAGACACATCATCATAGTCCCCAGGCAGCAGGGGATGCAGCTTGCCTGGGGACACATTAGAGTGGGAGTGAATGAGGGCAAATTTGACAAAGAATGAATTTCTGGGTCCTCCAAAGACAGGCCACTGCACTTGCAGGAAAAGAGATGAGATAGAATGGAGTATACAGGAAAGCCAGAGGGCATGTCTGTGTCAGGCCAAAGCACCTCCCCACATGGGAAGCCTGGGCTGGGATAAATAGCATCACCCACTGCCTGCTGATGCATGCAAAGGCTGGTGCTAGCTGTCATACGTAGCTGGGATAGGCCACAGCAGTCACTCACGAGTGTCAGAGCAGGGATGGGCCATGCGAAGATGGGTGACAGCACCCACCAGAGTGAAAAAGAGTGGGATTTGGCTATAGATTATATAGTAGCTTGTGTCAGTGGAACTCTAGCACCCTTTACTTCACATAGAAAACTGGGGGTAGTGACAGGCCAAGGCAGGGTGGACAACAAGCTCATCTGACCAGAACCCACCTGACATTCATGGATGCTGGGACTGTGAGGAAACCAAGTGGGACCAGTACATGCAAGAATTCGAGCTGGGGGAGGCTCAAGCCAGGCAAGTCCTCAGCACACATCAGCATTTGTGTGGACCAGGTCTGAGGGCAGGCCACTCTGGGCCAGGCCTGAGCACATGCTGGCATAAAAGAGAGCATGGTCAGTGGTGTGATCTGCCCAGCTGACATGGGCCACGGTATCCACTAACAAGAGTGCGGTCTGTGATTACGCGAGGTAGGGTTGCATTGAAGCTCCTGCCAATACAAACAAGACCCTGATTTGGAAAGGGCAATTAGGGTAACTCTTGGACACCTTTTTTGGGCTGAGGAAACATTGGTGGGTGTGAGAAACAGGGATGTATGCAGACAATGCTGGGCAAGGCCATAGCACTCATCAGCATGTGTGTAGGCTGGTCTGGAAGCAGGCAATTCTAGATTAGACTCCAGAACTCACCGGTGCTTGTAGGAGCCATCCTCTGAAGTTATACTCAACATTCCCTGCTGTCCCAGATGAACTGGTGTCCTGTCTCCCATGATGTCCACTACTCAGGCATCAACAACTGAGGAGACCCAGTCCCGACACCTGTACTCTGGGGGAAGAATCCTGTAATCTAGTTGGGGAATCCTCCACGAAACCTCACCCAGGGTGACTTTATATTTGATGTTTGCATGCACTGGCCAGGGTAGGGTCAGATTCAGTTTATCACCTGCACCAGACGATGGACACATTGGTACCCAACCCCAATTCACGCACAGGAACTGATGTATGCTGTGGCAACTAATAGATATAGCTAAGCAGGAAAGTGCCCACAGTTCCCTTAACAGGCATGTTCCCAGCACCAGATCTTGCACCTCTCAGGGGCTACTACAATCCTACCTGACATGACTTATATCTAGTGTTAGCACTTGTCAGCTGGGCTATGTCCTAGCTCAGGTGGCCTGCACCCATTAAGGCTCTCCTGCTTGCCAATGAGTATCATAGCCAGCCCAGCCAGTCCCACTCCCTGACTGCCCCACGACCAGTCCCATCTCTCTCACTCACCAATGGAAGCAGCAGCCAGCAAGGTAGTCTCCAAAGTTACCTGTAACAATATCTTCTCACAGTGGTATTCTTAGACCCATGGCTTGTGTGTGCCCATTCTGAGATGGTCCAACTGAATAGTCTGATTTTACTTTTATTTTTTCATATATATGCATACCTTTTTTAACTAAATTATTTTCAAAAAGACTTAAACAATTTTCATTGATTTAGGTTATATGAGAATTGATATGTGTAAGCATAGTGTAATAATCAAATCGAAGTAATTGAATTGGAATCTCCTTAAAGCTTATCCTATTTAAGTAATGAGCCAGGCGCAGTGGCTTAGCGGCTGAAGGCCTCACCATGAAAACACTAAAATACCATATGTGCTCCAGTTCTAATCCAAGTGGTCCCATCCCAATCCAACTTCCTGCTTGTGATCTGGGAAAGCAGTTGAGGACAACCCAAAGCTTTGGAAACATGGGAAACCTGGAAGAAGCTCCTGGCTCCTGGGTTTGAACTGGCTCAGCTCCGTCCATGCAGTCATGTGGGGATTGAATCATCGGACAGAAGATCTTCCTCTCTGCCTCTCCTCCTCTCTGTATATCTGAATTTGTAAAAAAAAAAAAATAATAATAATCTTTAAAAATATTTATTATCTTACATAACTATTGTGAAACTTATAACTCTAATTTGTAATATATAACCATACATTAGGGTAAACTGAGTAAAAATATTAACTGCAATATATTACTCAATTTAGTGCAACACTAACATTATACACAACAAGAAAAAACTAGAGAAATGACAGTTTACGAGAAGTAGAAACAACAATCAAGTGTCAAGATGATCTCACCATTTCTATATTATTTTTGTATTCAATATTAACTACCACATACTAGGAGAAACACATGATAAATGTGTAAGGGGAACTGGCTTGTCTCACTAAACTAAACATTTTAAAGTGAAGAACTAAATGGCAGCTATTTGCAATGCTGCAGAGCAGGAGAATGAGAGAGAGGATTCATCTGAGTCCATCATGGTCTCTTGGGAAACACCTGCAAGAACAAGGCTTTGTGTCATGGCCAGAGTCCCTCAGGGCCAGCAGGTGCTTAGAGGTCAGGGAGCTGCCTAATGAGCAAGCGCCTGGAGCTGTAAGTAGCTCCTCTGCTGTGTTCCCCCAGACTGTGCAACCTGGGCTAGAAGCAGCCTGTTTTTTGCATTTGGGGTCCTAAGTCTTGCTCAGGGACCAGAGCTTCCCTCCTTCCCTCTGCTGTGCCTGGGGCAGAGCTTCAGTGTGCAGAATCCACCATCCAGGGAGGAATTTGGCCTTCCATACAGACACTTTAATCATAGAGAGCCCATGCAGGTGAGC